TCAGGCCTTTATGGTAGAGTGGCTAGACGGAAGCCACTCCTCAGCAAAAAGGCACATGACAGCCCGCTTGGAGTTTGCCAAAAGGCACCTAAAGGACTCTGACCATGAGAAACAAGATTCTCTGGTCTGATGAAACCAAGATTGAACTTTGGCCTGAATGCCAAGCGTCACGTCTAGAGGAAACTAGGCACTGCTCATCACCTGGCCAATACCATCCCTACGGTGAAGCATGGTGGTGGCAGCATTATGCTGTGGGGATGTTTTTCAGCAGAAGGACTGGAAGACTAGTCAGGATTGAGGGAAAGAGATCCAAAGTACAGTGATCCTTGATGAAAACCTGCTCCAGAGCGCTCAGGACCTCAGACTGGGGCAAAGGTTCACCTTCCAACAGGACAACGACCCTAAGCACACAGCCAAGACAATGCAGGAGTGGCTTCGGGACAAGTCTCTGAATGTCCTTGAGTGGCCCAGCCAGAGCCCGGACTTGAACACGATAGAAACATCTCGAGAGACCTGAAAATAGCTGTGCAGCAATGCTCCCCATCTAACCTGACAGAGCTTGAGAGGATCTGCAGAGAAGAATGGGAGAAACTCCCCAAATACAGGTGTGCCAAGCTTGTAGGGTCATACCCAAGAAGCCTGAAATCGCTGCCAAAGGTGCTTCAACAAAGTACTGAGTAAAGGGTCTGAACACTTGTATGTAAATGTGATATTTCATTTTCATTTTTTATAAATTCGCAAAACAATTTAACCTGTTTTTACTTTATTATGGGGTATTGTGTGTAGATTGATGAGGGGGGAAAAACAATTTAAACAATTTTAGAATAAGGCTGTAACAAAATTAGGAAAAAGTGAAGAGGTCTGAATACTTTCCAAATGCACTGTAAGTCTACAGCACCCTTCCCAATGAAAGTATTGACTTTTAAAAAAAGTAAAAGTTGTGCAATGGGGAACTCTGTCAGGTAGTTTAATGTCACATTTTCAGTTTGAGTTTCAGTCATTCATTTGTGCAAGTCTTTCTTGGTCATTGCTAATTACAGATTGCATAATTTCAAATTCACAAAACACTGCGAAATATTCTTACACGGGCGACAAGGGTTGTTGGGTCTAGCAGTGACCCTGGTCTTGCTCAGTAGGGAGAAAACATTAAAACAGAGTGAAACTAGGAGGTACTACCTGGACTTGACCAATAAGGACACCGATATTTTTTTTCTCTCCCCCCGTTGCAAAACATTTTGCCACATTGTACCCTACTGAACACAACACTGGTGCTTTCTGTAGTAAGTCATAGTTCAATCATCCTCTTGCCGTACTACTCCTAATGTCACGGAACTCATTTTATCACAAACAGAGCATAAAACATTTAAAAATACACATTTTACTGTTCATTGTCTCAAACACAATGCTGCTGCAGTCAACGCAAGTTATGCAGGTTGCCCTCAGTGTTGCTTTCAATAGAGCAACCGTAATGTCTTTGTAAACTTTAACATAGAAAACATCTACACAGGGCTTGTCGTTAATAGTCTCACTCTTACTTAGTGTTATTAAAAAGCCTTGCAGCTTCATTAGACCTGGAAGGAATGGGGGTTCTTACACTCTGGTGAAACTTGTGCATCTAGTAGGCTAATTCCCAGTACATATTTACACAATACCACAGGATATACAGTGGGGGAAAAAAGTATTTAGTCAGCCACCAATTGTGCAAGTTCTCCCACTTAAAAAGATGAGGCCTGTAATTTTCATCATAGGTACACGTCAACTATGACAGACAAATTGAGAAGAAAAAAATCCAGAAAATCACATTGTAGGATTTTTTATGAATTTATTTGCAAATTATGGTGGAAAATAAGTATTTGGTCACCTACAAACAAGCAAGATTTCTGGCTCTCACAGACCTGTAACTTCTTCTTTAAGAGGCTCCTCTGTCCTCCACTCGTTACCTGTATTAATGGCACCTGTTTGAACTTGTTATCAGTATAAAAGACACCTGTCCACAACCTCAAACAGTCCCACTCCAAACTCCACTATGGCCAAGACCAAAGAGCTGTCAAAGGACACCAGAAACAAAATTGTAGACCTGCACCAGGCTGGGAAGACTGAATCTGCAATAGGTAAGCAGCTTGGTTTGAAGAAATCAACTGTGGGAGCAATTATTAGGAAATGGAAGACATACAAGACCACTGATAATCTCCCTCGATCTGGGGCTCCATGCAAGATCTCACCCCGTGGGGTCAAAATGATCACAAGAACGGTGAGCAAAAATCCCAGAACCACACGGGGGGACCTAGTGAATGACCTGCAGAGAGCTGGGACCAAAGTAACAAAGCCTACCATCAGTAACACACTACGCCGCCAGGGACTCAAATCCTGCAGTGCAAGACGTGTCCCCCTGCTTAAGCCAGTACATGTCCAGGCCCGTCTGAAGTTTGCTAGAGTGCATTTGGATGATCCAGAAGAGGATTGGGAGAATGTCATATGGTCAGATGAAACCAAAATAGAACTTTTTGGTAAAAACTCAACTCGTCGTGTTTGGAGGACAAAGAATGCTGAGTTGCATCCAAAGAACACCATACCTACTGTGAAGCATGGGGGTGGAAACATCATGCTTTGGGGCTGTTTTTCTGCAAAGGGACCAGGACGACTGATTCGTGTAAAGGAAAGAATGAATGGGGCCATGTATCGTGAGATTGAGTGAAAACCTCCTTCCATCAGCAAGGGCATTGAAGATGAAACGTGGCTGGGTCTTTCAGCATGACAATGATCCCAAACACACCGCCCGGGCAACGAAGGAGTGGCTTCGTAAGAAGCATTTCAAGGTCCTGGAGTGGCCTAGCCAGTCTCCAGATCTCAACCTCATAGAAAATCTTTGGAGGGAGTTGAAAGTCCGTGTTGCCCAGCGACAGCCCCAAAACATCACTGCTCTAGAGGAGATCTGCATGGAGGAATGGGCCAAAATACCAGCAACAGTGTGTGAAAACCTTGTGAAGACTTACAGAAAACGTTTGACCTGTGTCATTGCCAACAAAGGGTATATAACAAAGTATTGAGAAACTTTTGTTATTGACCAAATACTTATTTTCCACCATAATTTGCAAATAAATTCATTAAAAATCCTACAATGTGATTTTCTCGATTTTTTTTTCTCATTTTGTCTGTCATAGTTGACGTGTACCTATGATGAAAATTACAGGCCTCTCTCATCTTTTTAAGTGGGAGAACTTGCACAATTGGTGGCTGACTAAATACTTTTTTTCCCCCACTGTAGTTGAGTGAGTAAGGAAAGAGTGTTTTGCCTATAATTGCTTGTTGACAAAAAAAGAAAACGACATTTCCACAAAGATAATGATGCACTGAGCCTGGCACTTCAGATCAGTTATTTTCATATTTCTGAGAAGAAAAAATCTACATAAATTATAACAATTCAGACATGAGGTAGAGAGGCCAAATCAACAGGCTCTCCCCAAATGACAACGATTGGCCTAAAACGCTCCCATGTGCCTACGATTCGTCCACACACCCACCCATGTTACTATGATTGGCGAGTGACTATGTACGTGCCTTTCACCCACAGTCCTTTAGCAATGTAGTGTAAACAGCATATGAGGACGTTTAGCATCCTGCGGTGTATCTGGCATGTTAGTGGCTTTATGTGTCATAGCTGAGCCCAGAGGGTAGGTACTGGGTGAGAGGCTGACAGATTGGCACCAAGGGAGAGAGTCACCAAGGGAAATGACTAAGGTTGTGTTCAGTCGGGAGGAGAGAGACATTTTGAAACGGTGTGGTACTACCTGAACCTGTCCAATAAGAAATGTTCATTATTGTTTTCTGTTGCAAACATTTTTAAAACACTTCTGACACTGTGCCCTACCAAACACAACCCAGACCTAACTCGGAGCTCCCAGTTGAAACGACGCGAGCAGATATGGCCAAAAAGCCCTTTGTATACGCAAACACATACTGTACTCAGCAGGTGCATCTAGTGTCTTTGGCACGGGGGAGGACCAGGAGGAAATGAATCGGACTATGTTATAAATGAATGAGAGAGGAGGAGGATGGGAGAAGAGGGGACCAGGGCAGACCAAAGTAAGAGGAGAGAGCGTTCAAATATATTCACTTGGTATATTTATATTGTTCTGTCTTTGTCTGGCCATTGTATATCTCACAACAATGAGGTGGACTGGACAAAGGCCCCATACTTTACAGTCCTAAGGAATGTCTCCACTTACTCCCCAGACAAGACACAGTCATCATAGCATTTCGGAAAGACACATATCAGTGATCACACAGGGCGGTGAGGGTCTGATCATGCACAGGGCAAAAAATTACAAAAAAACATTTAACATAATATTTAGCATGTAATGGTGTCATAGTTTCACTACAAAAAGAGGACTTGGGGGTTTGTAGTGTGGGGTTTGTAGCAGAGAGGGGCTGGGTAAGGGTCCCTGTGGTGGGTGTCCTGTGGTAACGCCTATCTGTGGAGTGCAGCAATGGTCGTTTCAGTCGCAGTGAGCGTCTTTCTCCACAAGAGGGAGTCATAATCATGAGTCAGTATGGCCACTTCTCTTCTAGCTCCCAGGTTCACGGTCCTCTACTACAAAAGGGTGGTCCATGAGTCAGAGAAGCCACATATACACACGTGTCTGGTCTGTGTGCGGGCACGTGTGTGTGTGTGCGGGCAATTGCGGGTGTAAAGGAGGATTTCTTGAAAAACATGGGAGAGGGGGCGTAAACTCTGCTGTGTGTGTGTGTGTGTGTAGTGTATCAGGAAGTGGGGTGGAAGTGTAAACTCTATTCCGTGTTCGTGTGTGTGAGTGAGAACTTCATCTAAATAAATTCTCTCTCACACACATTGGCAACAACAGCGGGTGAGTTGCAACTCCTGACCACTGCAGTCCGTATATCATGTGTTCTTTCTATCATAGGTGAAAATCACAGAGGAGGAATGGATTGGACTTTTGTATAGTGAGGAGTGTGTCTGGAAGTGTGTGTGTGTGTGTGTCTCAGCTCTCGTCCTCGGAGTGTTGGTGGTCCAGCAGCCGGACATGCGTAAAGGGAAAGTGGCCACGCTTGCCCTTGCACTCGCCCTCCCACTGGCCGTTCACGTTGATCTTGGTCACTTTCACCATGTCTCCGACCTGCACAAACACACACACACAAAGGTTAGACTATAGAGATAGATTGGATAGAAACAAGACCTTCAGGGGTCTGCAACGTGTGGCTTTGGAGCCCCTATGGGTCTCAATGATGTTCCATCAATAGTTTTATTAAGTAGCCTAATCAATCAACTATAATAGTAGAATGAATACATCAAATCAACTCTACTCACACTTGAACCACATGATAATTATTTAGCTGAATTAGTTGGCAACAGCCCTTAGCGTGACGACTCACATTAAATTATTCCGCTGCTCTGTCATTCACTACATACTTTAGTCGGCTACTGCAATCATTGGAGTCTTGTGGTGACAAGGGGCGTTGTACAAAACAAAGTAATCAGCAATTGGATTGTTTCTAACCAATCAGAGTATCAAAGCGTATGACTAATTTTTTAACCGCCGCTTTACCCACGTGTGTTCTGGCTCTGGCCCAACCCATCAGTTTCTGGACCAATCTGACGGCCCTGAATGTGTTCACATTTGGTGAAGGGTCGGGGAGGTACTCAGATCAAGACTCATTGTGGAGAAGAAACGAACGTCCGTGGGCATGGCGTAGCGATTGTCCGGAGCGAGGAGTCTGGATAGCCAGGCAATACAGCCCTTATTATTCAACACAATTCTGTTTTGTTTAGTTTTGAAATGCGCCCAGGTGCGCCAACATCAAGGTTTTTGGGGGTGGACATTTTGAAAATGTGTGGAAGCAAAGTCTCCTTTCATTTGAGTTCCCAACCCCAGCCTTACCTGACAAGTAGGGATGGGCATTTGAAATAATTTCACCATTCAAATAAAACAAAAATGTGGATATCCGGATAGTCTAAAAACGTGTTGTTATGTAACTTTGTTTGAACATGGACACTTGTTTGCTGCGCAGCTTGCGCGACTCGGAAGAGACAGTGCACGCTGCAGCAGGGTGGGGGGATGGGCAGGGGCCAGTGGTGTGTGAGACACGGGAGGGAGAAAGAGAAAGTAGCAACTGACTCGCACTAGTTGACAAACTTGTAAATGCCATAGGTTCTCTCTCATCCCATCTGACAGTGCCTGTCTTTACTGTATTAAATCGATGTAAAGAAGCTAGCTAAGATCGCCAGATATTAGTTAGCTAGGCCAGTTGAGGCTATTTTGCTGCGCTGCGCTGCCCGTCCAAACCAACTCCATTCAGATTAAACAACAGCCTACCTGTTGGTTGCTCGTTGTAACCTACTTCTCATTTAGCTAATTGAATTCCATAATTTTAATTTTGCATTGATTTGAGACCTCCCACTTCACGTTGCTACACATGGAGCCTCTGACTGTAGTGCCAACAACAAGCTATACAGGTGAAACCTGTGTAGGATATACAGTAAGTCTTTCTATTATGGGTCCCACGTCATAAAAACTACATTTAAAAGTTTGTTTTATTAAACTGAATTTCAAATGTCATGGTATATCTTTGTGTGTAGCAATGTCACAAATTATTTAATTTAATTGAGACAGACTTTTCATTGTTAAAATAGGCCTGTGATTTTTCCCCCCTCAAATGAATACTCTCGCAAGTATTCGAATACTAACGTGCCCATCCATACTGACAAGCACAGTAGCCAAACTCTTTATTTCGTTTCTCTAACCCAGGCCAGAGTCGGGGTCGCTTCCATTTCAAATACACTCAGTTCATGGACAGTTGCAATTGGAAATCAATGTGAACTACCGGTACGTCCACTGACTGAACAATATTGGTATGGAATTACCGGAACCCTGATTGACTCACAGCCTGTAAGGCAATTGACCCTAAGCCCTGATCTACACAGCAGCACAGTCCTACTAAGCCTTTACCCTGGGATACACACTCCACGCCCATTAATAATAATAATAATAATAATAATAATAAATTATTATTACTATATTATTATTATTATCATCCCACTATAATCTCCATGTTGCTTCATTTTCTGCAGTGCAAAAATGGTCCGAAATGGCACCCTGGCCTATTCCTTACATAGTGCACAACTTTTGACCAAAAGCAGTGCACTAAATAGGGAATAGGCTGTCAAAGGCAAAGGGTGGCTACTTTGAAGAATATAAAATATATTTTGATTTGTTTAACACTTTTTTGGTTACTACATGATTCCATATGTGTTATTTCATCGTTTTGATGTCTTTACTATTATTCTACAATGTAGAAAATAGTAACAATTAAGAAAAACCCTTGAATGAGTAGGTGTGTCCAAACTTTTGACTGGTACTGTACATAATTATGTGGAACTGAACTATACCTTTAATAGGTATTTAATAGGCGTCCGTTGTCTCATTTTGGCCGTTTGTTGCTCTATTTAACTATACAAGGGGAGTAGAAGAGCACGGAAAGCATATTATTTGGTACCTCAGAGAGGGATGAAGGTGAGAGAGAAATAGAAAGAGAGAGAGTGCACTTCTTCATCTCTAATCTGTATTTGATAACCAGGACCTTGACCTCTCTGACTCCTGCCCGCCTCAGAGCAGCGGAGGGAGAGAGCGACTATTCTTGTGTATTTTATTCCTTGTGTTACTATTTATATTTTTTAACTGCATTGTTGGGAAGGGCTCGTAAGCAAGCATTTCACGGCCCGTTCTGCAGGTTGGGCAAGGGCATACTGGCCCGGTTCCCCTAGAGGCAGCTGGGGCACTGCTCCGTCCATAGTGTTGCCCCTACTATTTAAAAAAATAATTTTTACTCTGCATCGTTGGGAAGAGCTCGTAAGCAAGCATTTCACGGTTAAGTCTACACCTGTTGTATTCGGCACGTGACAAATAAAATGTTATTCGATTTTATATTTGATTTAAATGTTACATTCAAATGCACACAGGCCCTGACAGTGTAGAAAACCAGAGAGCCCCAGTACTAGCTCTCCTCTCGGTTTGATTTTCTCTATGCATGAACCCATTATGCACGTCATTGTGTGTGTGTGTGTAAGCATGCAAGTGTGTCTGCACATGTGTATGGATGGTCATATGTATACTTACAGGCAAGAGTAAGCAATTACAGCAGCACCCTGGCTCTCCGAGCAGAGAGAACATATAGGGCACATTACATGAAACAGAAAAGAGGGAGAGAGCGTGGGGGGGGGGGCAGGTTAACAGAGGAAGGCGAAGAAAGGGGGTGAACCAATACCTCCAAGGCGAGGGCTGTCTTGTCATAGGCGTTGGGCACCCTTTTCTGAATGGTGTGAGCGTAGACAGGCCCGTTCTGCAGGTTGGGCAGGGGCGTGTTGACCATGGGCTGGGCATACTGGCCCGGCTCTCCCAGAGGCGGGGGCAGCTGGGGCACTGCTCCGTCCGTAGTGCTGCCCACAACACTGGCCGGTCCTCCCGCACCGCCGGGTCCCCCCGTCACCGAGGAGGTGGGCGAGGCAGGCCGGTACTTCTCCACATAGGGCACGGGGATCATGCCGGCGCGGCCCTCCTGGTTAGCCGCATTCCACCACTGCTCCTCTGGCTTCACCAGCACACGCAGCACGTCACCCTTGCGGAAGGGCAGGTCCTCCTCGTCATTGCCGGGGAAGTCAAAGAGGGCGCGAACAAACTCTGCCTCCTGCGGGGCGCTGCCCGACGCAGTGGGGGGGGCGGTGGCGGCACAGCTCACGAAGCCAGTGTGCTTGGCCTTGCTGATGGGCTCGATCAGCGTGGTGGTGTCCAGGTAGTGGATCTTGTAGAACTCCAGAAGGATGGGCAGGGCGTCAAACTCCTGGTCCCCGATGCGGAACCGCGGGGGGGGCAGACCTGGACGGCGAGAGGATGGAACTCTTTTTTATTTTATTTTACTCTCCTGGAACCCTGAAGCTACTGAAACTGAAAGTGCCTCACAGCTACACATTATTCTGACAATCAAGACCTAACAAAACAATTAGGCTTAAGCCAAGGACTTAGCTGAAATAGTGTTTAAGCCTCCCATGGCTTCACATACAGCATGTATACGCTCTGTCACAACTTTGGAAGTTTATTAAGAAAAACAATATGTTCCAGAAGATATACTCATTCGATTCAATTCGACAGCTTAGCTAATGGTCACACAATTGCAGAGCCTGCAAGGTAGGACATGTATGGTGAAATTCCCAAAAGGAAGTAGCCTAAACCAATAAAAATAACTGAGCCTATGTGTGTGCGCGCGCGTAAGTAAAACAGGGCAGGACCACAGGCATTCCACACACACCATTCGGAACAGTCATCCTCCAATTGTGACAGCATGTCCATTCATTCACAGGATCAGCCCAATCCAACCCGCTCACTCACCGTCTACCTGGCTCTCAGTATGAAACAATTTATGCACTCACTAACTGTAAATCGCTCTGGATAAGAGCGTCTGCTAAATTACTAAAATGTAAAATGTATATTAAAGACAAAGTACCTAAAGCCTCCAGCTGACAAAACTAAACAAAGACCTTTGAAAACCCACCATTACTACACAGTTACAAAAACCACAGCCAGTTATGTGTGTAGCTAACTAAGCACACTACCAAATCCCTAACTAAATACTGTATTTGCAAATCTTCGTGACTGGTCAAATTTGAACTCATTAGCGTGCCAAGACCACCACCATAAGTTAATTGACACAATCTACATCATGACTGTCAAGTAACACAACTAGGTTGCTTGTCTCTGTGCATAGCTTTAATTTGCCTTCCGTTCCAACATAAGAATAACGTTAGCTTCAGGCCGACCTTAGCAAGCATCAGTAGCTAGCTATCATTCTTGTTAAGTGTTCATAGTGTAATAAAGTTTTCAAACGTAAACTCTCTTTTGTTTAGCAAGCCATCTAACATGACTTATGTCTGGTGTAACCAGAGTATCTTTGGTGTAGCTAGTTTCCGGCCAACTAAGTTATCTTAAACGTAGCTAGGTACTGCTAGCTAGCTGGCCGCTAGCACTGGGTCAGTGGCGTTTTCCCACGTTAACTAGCTGGCTTCCTAGCTGCCTCGTTACTAACACGCTAGCTATCTAATCTTACCTGATCCAGATTGCCGGTTGTTGCTGATGCTGTTGATTATATAATGTGATACTTTTGAGTTCTCTGAGACGGATAGCACGTAGTCCCCGGGACTGGTAATAGAGTCCCTGACCAGGAACACGCCATGTCGCTGACCCTCCAAGAGGGAAACCGCCTCCTGTCGACTCAACCTTCCCCAGTACCAGCTATCACGGTCCTCCGCATCAAAATTCCCGGCCATGGCTGCAAATCCACTCCAAGGTTCCAAGGCCTTCCCCTTGCCTCTCCCTGACCACAACTAGGATTCAACTCATACAACTTTGGTTCACTGTAGAACACGCTCCGGGAAAAAAACACGCCATCGATACCGCTTTAAACCGTTAGATTTATATAAATTTACTTAAGAATGAATTGTTGTAACCAGTAATATATAATGTTTTTATCAAGGCGTTTTAAAATAAATCTCTGAAGTCATTTGCAACATGAAACTCAGGGGCTGAAATGGCGGATCTAGGGGTAAAGGTTGACTTCATCCCCCGGATTTAACCGGGCGTAGCTAGCTAGTCATGATGGGGCATGTCCGCTGGAGGCTGCCACTGAGGAATGGAATGTCATGATGGGCATCACATCCATCAATTTTGAGAAGGTCGAGAAATGTTGCTAAGTCAAAGGTTCACCTGCTCTCACTTCAAACTCATCTGGTTGCTTCTTAAATATTACACTACCAGGTTATTTCGCCTGGACCGCAACATTTTGTTCTTGATAAGTAAAAAAAAAAGTGTATGCAGTTTCAACAACTTGACACTAGATGTCACTCAAATGTCACTCCTGAACTCCAAGGCAGGCGTGGTGAGATAACTCCAAGGCAGGTGTGGTGAGATAACTCAGTCCAGTGGAATACGAAGAGCGCTCCGTAAACCACGCCCCAGTGGGCAGAGCTAGGCATGTTGTACTGGGACACGCTTTAATTCAATAAAAAGCCTCTAATTTCACCGTGGGTCCGCCATGGTTCTGTGTAGCTTAGTTATGCTAATATATTTGCAGTTAATTTCGTCTTTGACTTAATAAGTAAATCAGGGAAATAACAACGATCGAGTCCCAGACAGTTCGCAATAGAACATACCAAAGGAGGGCATCGTTTACTACCTAAATTATTGCCATCTAAAGCTCATTTCCTAAATTTCTACACAATCCAATATGTCGTGTCTATTTAGAACAGCAAAAAGTAAGCAAAATTGTCCACAGTCATCAAGCTAGGTATAAGATCATTATTAAATATGTTTAAGTGATTGATAAGACTGAACTAGATCAAAGGTAATTAATAATCACGCCCGACCCCCACCAGTCTAGTACAGAACTCAACTCTCTCCCAACACAATTTCCTTCCCAAGGGAAAGGTTTGGGGGGAAAACTAACAAAAAACGTAATACACCACAAATATACATTAACACACAGAAACAGCAAATCATCCATATACACTGAACAAAAATACAAATGCAACATGTAAGGTGTTGGTCTCATGTTTCATGAGCTGAAATAAGACCCCAGAAATTTAGCATATGCACAGAAAGCGTATTTCTCTAAAATTTTGTGCACAAATTTGTATACATCCCTGTATACATCCTTTTCTATTTTATCCTTTGTCAGGATAATCTATCCACCTGAAAGGTGTGGCATATCAAGAAGCTGATTAAGATCTACTGGATCTCTTGAGCTCAGGAATCTGACCCTGAATGACAGTGGAGAATACGTAGTTAATATTATTACTGCTGCAGATGTATCACCTGAAAAAAACTACTAGACTGAAAGTATTTGCCTTTACGGCTGGGACCGCAAGTTTGTGTCCCAGATTCCTGGTTACCAACAACGACGAGACGACCTACAGAGAGGAGCAAGCTGAAAGTTGGATGTCTCTCATGGCTTCGCTCACCCCTGGAGCGTGGTACACCTGCCAGTACCTGAGCCAGAGAGTCGCTGAGCTGGAGGGGAGAGTATCGGTCTTGCGCCAGATCAAGGAGGACGAGGAACTCCTGGACTCCATGGTTGCACAAACCACCTCCAAAATCGACGACGTCACCTGCCCCTGGCTCGGCACCTCCACTTCTGGGGAGCCTGTAACGGAGAAACTCCATTCGGTTCCCTTAAATGAGCCATGGCCCAGGCTAGGAGCTAAACCGAAGGGCCCGGTCTGTTCCACCCCTTCTGCTCCGCCTCAGGATGCCTGGATTGCTGTCCGGGGAGTAAAGCACTCCAGGAAACGGAATCCATCAAATGTTTCGGAAGTGCTACAATTGGTGAGGAGATTCAAGGTCCTGGAAGACCTGGAAGTGCATTCCAATCATACTGTACAGGGTCCCTCCGCTACATCTCTACTGCTGCCGTCTCACTCTCAGGTGGAAGTGCCCAAGCACACTCATCTGCGCTCCTTGCCTACCGCTAGGTCGTCAGTCTCAGCTGCTAGCCCCCCTCAACCTGCTAGGAGGCAGATCACCCAGGAGAGGCCCCGTCATTTACCCAATAAACCCATCGGTAGTCCTTCCGTTCTCGTGGTGGGTTCATCCATGGTCCGAAACTTTTCAATCCGGAAAGCTGAGACTTTCTGCTACCCTGGCGCTAGGATCCCTGACCTAAATTCCATGCTACCGCTACTTATTAGCAAGCACTCCGCCACTTCAACTATCATTGTCCATGTTGGGTCAAATGACATTAAACTCCAGCAGTCAGAGAAATTGAGAGACGATTTTAAAACATTGATAAATACGCTGCTGGAATCTGGGAAGCAGTGTGTTGTTTCCGGTCCTTTTCCATCCCCACGCTACACGGATATGGTTTTTAGTCGTATACGCCAATTACACACCTGGCTTAAGGGATACTGCTGCACGATGGGAATTCCTTTTGTGGATAACTTTGCAGCTTTTACAGACCGACCAGATCTATTTCTTCGGGACAATTTACATCTTAACAGGTATGGCTCCAGCATCCTCTTCACCAACATGTCTCTTACTCTTGCCTCATGTAGAGCCTTTGATACCTGACGTTGTGTATTTTCGGGGGTTGACTTTTGGGATTGTACGCTCCCCTATCAGACTATGTTCAATGCTCCTCTCCCAGTTTCATTAATTAGTCCCTCAATTGCAAATATGGAACAAACTTCAGCTAACAACCTTTCTGCAATTCCTAGATGATTGTCCAATCACCGTACTGCGAATACTACTTACATGCAGAGAGGTATTGTTAGTAGTAATCTTGTCCCCATAAAATTGAGCTCTGTCAATAGCCCGAAAATGGTTTATTGCTCATTCAGTGCAGCTTCAGGTGCTACCTTGGATACTCCATCTGATATGAATTCCCGTAGCAATGGCATTGGAATAATTCATTTGAATGCTAGAAGCCTGATCCAAAAGTTGGACTTTATTGAAATTGTGGTCTCACAATCAAATGTTGACGTACTGATTGTATCTGAATCGTGGCTGTGTGATTCTGTGCCTGATTCAGATGTTCAGTTGATTGGGTACAATATTTTTAGAGCTGATAGAGTTGGTAGAGGTGGTGGTATCGCAATTTTTGTAAAATGCTGCTTAAATGTTTGTGTCCATATCAACCTCTGTCCCAAAGCAATATGAATGTCTAGTTTTAAATGTAGTACTTGGTAATAATGCTCATTTAACTCTAGCAGGGGTATATCGCCCCCCCTCAGCTCCTCCTTGTACTCTATGCAAATAATCTGATATACTGTCTAACTATGCAAACTCTGAATTACTGATTTTGGGAGATTTTAACCTGGATTGGCTTTCACCAGTATCCGATAAATTAAAATATATTTGTACTGAGCTAAATCTAACTCAGCTGATAACTAAACCAACCCGTCCCAACTTTAAGAATCCAGTAAAATCTACTCTACTAGACATGATTCTAACAAATACCCCCCATAAATACACAGCCAGTGGGGTTTTTTCAAATGATATCAGTGACCACTGCTCTATTGCTTGTATTAGAGATACCAGGCTGAAACACTCTGATCCCTGTATAATCTCTAAGAGAAATTATAAATATTTCTCACAGCAAGCTTTTATCCTTGACTTATATCACGCTGAGCTTTTATCCACTTGCTGCTTTCTGGACCCGGTTTTAGCCCTTGCTTTTTTCTCTTCTATTGTTACCTCTATGTCTGATAAACATGCCCCGCTTAAGAATCACAGAGTAAGAAACCGAACCAGTTCTTGGTTCTCTCCTGAATTGTCAGGTCTTTTTCTGCAAAAGAATCGGGCCTGGGCCTTGGCGAGGAAAACAGGTACTCCAGCTGATTGGCTGTTTTTTAGGCAATTGAGAAATAAATGTACTGCAGCTGTCAAAAAGGCAAAATCAAATTACTTCCTTAATGCTATGACAGATTCTGCAGGAGATCCTGCAAAATTCTGGAAAACCGTTAATTCACTGAAACGGGGGAATTCTGCTGTTTCTCTTCCTAAGCAAATTATCTCAGACTCCTGTATTCTAAGTGAAAAAAATTATATTTGCTTTCAATAAGCATTTAATCTCTGCTGGTTTTTTATTTGAAAAGAAAAGTGGTACTGGCCAGTTAGTTGATTTTCCGTCTTGCTTTTCAACTGTTACTCTGAAAAATGGTAACCCTGTTTTTAGTTTCCAGAAAATAACTGAAGCAGAGGTTCTAGCTGCCCTGTGTGCCATTGATACTAAGAAATCCTTAGGCGCTGACAATTTAGACCCGTACTTACTTAAGTGTGCTGCACCTATCATTGCTGGTTCAGTGACACACATTTTTAATCTAACATTAAGCACAGGAAATATCCCTAAGGTGTGGAAAGCAGCTTTTGTTCTGCCATTACATAAGGGAGGTGACGGTAGTGATTTGGAAAACTATCGACCCATCTCTAGGCTCCCTTGTCTGGCAAAGATCCTAGAATCTATAGTCAACAAACAGTTACAATCTTTTCTTTCTGTTAACAGTATTTTTAGCCCCAATCAATCTGGTTTTAGATCTAAACACAGTACCACATCGGCCACTATGCTTGTTGTAAATGATATTGCAAATGCCTTAGATGATAGAAAGCACTGTGCTTCGTTGTTTGTAGATTTGTCAAAAGCTTTTGACACTGTAGACCATGCTATCCTTTTGAGTAAGCTGTCATCTATAGGACTGGGCACTGATGCCTGTCGATGGTTTTATGACTATCTTAAAGATAGAACTCAGGCCGTCATGGTCGACGGGGTCAAGTCTGACCCCTTACAGTTACTTAAAGGGGTCCCTCAGGGTTCAATAATTGGCCCACTATTGTTCTCACTTTATATAAACAACATTGGTGATGATGTCAGATATTGTAAATTCCATTTATATGCAGATGACACAGTGATGTACTCTATTGCTCCAACAGCGGACCAAGCTTTAATGCAGTTGGAGTCTGATTTTAGGATACTACAGGGGTCTCTTTTACAGCTTAAACTTGTTTTAAACGCTAAGAAAACAAATGTCAT